TTTTACCTGAGGATCAGCTTCATAAATACGGAAGGCCACTGCTGTGGGCGGGCTTTTATAAGACAATTTCTATCCATAAGTTTTCCTTTTGCCAAGTTTTTTATTAGCTTTTTGCTTCTACTTCCTCAATTTTTATTTGCTTTTGCTTTCTTCAGCTTTTATTCGTAGGTTTCGATTATTTGATTTCGCTTTTTTCCGTTTTTATGCATTTTTTGCATCTATGCAAGGCAAAAACGCATATTATTGTCGAGAGGTTGTCTGCGTATGTATGTGGGTCTGTGTGCATGCATGTATGTGTGTTTGTGTGTGCGTCTGTAAAGTTTTCATCTCGAAATCCGCAAAATCTGCAAGGCTGAAACTTTGGTAACTTAATTTACACATAAGTGCGGGCTATTATTCTCAAAATGGACGCTCAAGTCCGCGTGGTTCTCATGTACGGGCTCGTGAAAGTTTTTTTTTTGGCGGGAAAGCGTTTTCGGAAACGGCACAAGCCAGAGGGCTGAAACTTCATGGAGATGTTCCATGGCCACGTCTAAATTGGCATCATACCAACTTCAGATTTAAGTTGACCAATAAGGAGTTGGGAAGGTGAATTGAGTGGCTACTTGCCACGAATCTTTGGCGGTTGCCAACACCATGTACAGCAGAGGGGATAGGGGTAGGGCGATGGGTGGAAAGAAGGAGGAACCGTGATGCTGGTTTTTGCCACGGATACCCGGGACAGAAAAAGGGTAGAAGTATTGCTTGCTTCCAGAGTGCTCTTATGGTGGGGATGGAGAGGAGCTCAAACTTCACATATTATGTCAAGTAATGATTTATGGTTTTTCGTAAGAAATTGCGTAAGAAACAATCGCTACCCCGATCCTTGGTTCAACTTCTGAAATAGTAGAATGGAAGGATTGGTAGTAAGTGTCATGTGCCGAAAGACATTTTACTATGTGGTAAGCCTGTGTTTCATCCCTTAGCTGTAAACACAGACCGAGCAGTGTGTGCAGATAGGAGCAGGAATCATCAGTACAGCCTCCTTCCCGCCATGCTCTGAACAGTCATGCGGCTAATTTGCAGGATAGAAATATGAATGAGGGAGGAATCTGAGAGAGAGGGAGAAAGCAGACTGCGAGAGGAGAGAATAAGAAAGTTAACCCATATAATAAGAAAGTTAACCCATATACAGATGATCATTATATGCCAAAATAAGTAAACACTTTTTACGCGAAGAGTGCGCTGACTAGGCGTTTAATTC